ATGATATATTGAATACAATTCTTGATAATATTACTAGAAAATGGAATGAACGTTGTATTCATGGCTGTGTTAAGAATGAGCGTTTAACAACTTCACTCGATACTGGTAGAATATGTGAAATTATTAATTCAGAAGTACTAAAACTAAGAGAATCTAAATCTAAAGACATAGCTGGTGATGAAGAATTTTTAAAAAGAGTTGCTTTATTAATTACGTGTTGTGTAGACAATCAAACTAAATTTAATGAAGAGTTTATCCATAAAAGAAACTTCCTTTATCAGAATGTCTTTGATTGGTTTGATGAAATTATCCCTGATAAAAAACTTATAAAAAATTCATTCTCAAAAAGACTATGGGACAACCTTGATCAGATTCTTATTGAAATTCTTTTAAGAAAAATAGAAAAGACTGAGGAAATACGCAAAATCCCAGTTACTATAAAACAGTTTAATGATTTATTATCTTATTTATATAAAAATTCAACAGCAATTATTTGGAATAGATATGCTGTTATTGCTGATCAAAATGGTACATTTCAAAAACCAGAAGGAATGTATATTGATGATGGTATTCCTTGTTGCCTCAAAGATAGTCACATCATTAATTTAGGTTTGGACTTCAAAAGAATTCTTTGTGACAAAAAAATTAAATTGCCTTTACCTGTTCTGTCTTTAGACGATGGGTGTAAAAAACTTGCAGCATTAAGTTCAACCAATGTATATTCTGAAGATCTCTTTTATTTATTTTCGCTTATCCCACAAGAACAAGTTATTCATGACAGGCAAAAATTATACTATGACTTAAGCAAATGTTATTTGAATAACACAAACCCCGAAGTGTCATTAGACGTTAGTACTGATATTTTATGGAAAAAATATAGCCTTTGTTTGGTTAACCAGATTGTTGAAAAACACAACTCTTTTAATGATTTGTCAAATTACAAATCATGTTTACGTTTAAGTAATGAAGCTGCATTTAGGATGATAGAAATGTATTGGACTTGTTATAATTTACATCGTCAGAATTTACGTTACTCATTGAAACTTCCTAATCAATATGGAACTTTCAAAGACTCTAGAGAGTTATCATTTGACCAAGACAATGCCCAAAATGTAATAGAGGTCCAATCAAATTTATGTTCCCTTTCAATGAACCGTTGTTATGAAAGATATAGTATGTACACAAGTTATTCTGACTATAAAGACAAATTATTATTTAATGGAATTAGAAATATTAATAATGAATTGAATATTGTTACACTACAAAAGATATGTAGTACAATTGATGATATGATTGAAGCTTTTTATACTAAGAACAGAAAGGAATTATTCGCTAATACTAGATTCAAGGATGTTATGACTGACTTATTTGCAACTGGGTATATTCCTTCATTACAATACTTCCCTAAACTTAGCCAAGAAACACTTCTTAACGATATTGAGTATAGTGTGATGTTTAGCTCAGAATTTAAAAAGTCATTCTTTAAACTATCAAACCTTTTAAAAAAGAAAGGAATGGCATCAGATAAATTAATTAATTTAGTTGAACGATACAATGTAGAAAAAGATGAGCTTCAATAAATTGAAGGTTCTATTACACTTTTATCATTAAATGATGCTAAAGAAAAATGAAAAGAATAAAAATAATTAATTGATTCTTTTTCAAATAGATTTTTATGAAAAAAAAAATAAACATCATTGATAAATGTATTATTTTAATTTATAAAATAATTTAAAATAATTTATTTTACTATAAAAATACTTCAGAATAAAACTAATAATTCAATAATTTAAGATGTCATCAACTACCTTCCCAAATAATTATAATCATTTACTAACTCAAATTAGTAACTTACCACAAAAGAGTATTGATGAAATTAGTTCTGCCTTTCTTGGTTTGGTTAATTGTATTAGTCAAAACAACCAAAACAGCACCATTCTATTAAAGAAATTATATAATATTTTTTTAGACAATAACCAGTCTGAAGCTGAAAAGAAAGAAAACCTCTCTAAACTATTGAAAAATATAAAGGAAAACGAAGTTTCATTCACTCAACCAGACAAACACTACCAAAAAAAGGTAGGAAAAGAAATAGGTAAAACCAATACAAAAAGTTTTACACAGGGTGTAGGAAATACACAAAAAGGATGTGTATCAGCAAAAACAGCTCAAATAAACAAAGGTTATACATTGTCAGATTTTTTCACAGCTATAACTCACCTTTATTCATCTGAAATCAATAAAGAATTGCTCTGTAATATTTGTCAAAAACTCTTAAGTGAAGTCTTTATACAACTTCTTTTACCTGATACACATGATGAAATGAAATCAAAATTTATTGACTTCATTAATGAAATAAACAAAATTCAATCAGGACATTTAAGTCCAGACTTTGTATTTACAAATAAATATAGAAGTAATGAAACAATAGAATTAATTCAAGAAGAAACAAATTTGATATACTATTCTTTTATGAAAGAATTTAAAAAAGTACTTGTTGAAATGAATAGCCAATACAACGGTTTCACGAAGAACGTTCAAAAATTTTGTACTGACATACAACATTTGTTACAAGAAGAATGTCCCCAATCACAACTATATTATCTTGAAGACTATGTGAAAAAATTTAAAGAAATAATGCACCAAGTATTAAATAAGGTAATTAATAAAGATAATGAATTAAAAGTCAAACAAAATTTGTTGAAATTAATTACTCCTGATAATTGTCAATTACTTTTGAAAACCAATGACTTAAATAAATTTGTTGATGATATTCTCAATGCTCCTGACCTCACTAAAGTCTCTGAATTAAGTTCAAAAATACATGACCTAGAAAGAGAAAAAGATGATGCTGAAAGTAATAAGAAAAAATTAATGGAAGAAATAAGCAAAACAAAACATGAACTAAATACGGCTACTACAAATATTAAACGTTGTTCAAAAGAACTTATGAAAGTTAAAAATGAAAAAGAAGAATTTTTTAAAGAATTAATCGAAGAGGATTCTGTTAAAGCTCAGAGCATTGCTATTCCATTTGAATTATGGTATATTGAAGCTACTTATACTTGTATTATTTTTATAAAAGAAAAAATGAAACGAATTAAATTTGTTCTTCAACTTAGGCATAGTAATAAAAATGGAGAACTAATTCATATCAGAGACAATATTTATATTCGAATTTATTTCACTCATAAGCACTTTAGAAGAGAAGGTGATGATATTGTCTATTACATTAATGACAATGAAATTCCTAAAGACCACAGAGCAAGTGTTATTCATCCAGGTGGGTCTACATACACATACTCATATGGCAATTTTAAAGACAATCAAATTATTGTTGAACAGTGTGGATTTACTAATAACTCACATTCTTCTAAAGGAAGATTTATTATACGAAAAGTGGATAATATCAATTTATTACCTCCTAGTGAAAATGAATTAATTAAGAAAAGACAAGACGACGCTTCAAAGATGTGTAATTTTGTTGAGAGAGAAAATAGTACTAAGCATGAGGAAAAAATATACAAACAAAAAGAAGACAGTTGTAATCGTAAGGTTGATGATTTACAAAAAGAAGAAAAAGTTTGTGACGATAAATTAGAATCAATTCCTAGTCAAATTGAACGCCTAGAGCTTGAATTGTCCGAAGAACAGAAAAGAATCAATGAAAGTAGTTCTAAAAGTTTTGATTTAATTCAAAAGAAAATTATAGCTAAAGCAATAGAAGAGAATAGAATTATTAGATTTTCTTGTAGTCATCACAGTGAAACTGAAATTGTTGAAACAAGTGATGGTCTTTGGATTAAACTTGCAGCTAATGATCGGTATCTATGCTTTTTAGATTCAACAAAAATTCCTTTAAGAAAAAGTGGGGAGAAGGGATGGTTTACTTCTAAACCAACAACTTTCTATTATCATCTTCTACGAGAACTAACATTTACTAATAAAGATGAAGTAGTGCCTAATAATGATATTATTTTTGACACCCTTTTGAAAGATCAACAAGTTATCATTTTTAATGTGGATATTCCTAATTCCTATAATGAAAAGTATCTCCCTATTGTTACTTGCAAAAGAAAAGCTTTTCGTATGGATAATCCAGAAGACTTTATGATATTTCCAGTTAAAACACCTAAATGTCCCACTAGATTTGTCTTTAAGAATGGTTATTACGTTAATACAGACGATGGAGGTATTATTATTATTAATGTTTCATTCAAAGAAAATGAACCATTTTTAATCCATTGTAATGATATTTCATCACAAATCTCTCCTCGTAAATGTAATCAAGAAATAGACAAAAAGAAACCAGAATCAGTTCCAAATGAAGACATTCAAAAACCACAACAATCTGACAGTTTAATTACAGACACTCAAAAACCACAACAATGTGACAGTTTGGTTGAAGACATTCAAAAACCACAACAATCTGACAGTTTTGTTGCAGACACTAAAATATCTTTAACTTCTTCAGATGTGTGGATCCAAAAGGAATATGATAACTTCGATAACATACGTATATTTGAAAAAGACTATAAGACATATGGAATAAAATTTGATGAGACTTCCTCTAAGCCAGGTGATGTTGTAGACATGCACAAACCAGGTGATGTTTTTAAATATAATATCTCCAGTTATAATTTGGATGTGTATTGTCTCAAATGTATAGGGGGTAAAAATAAAAAAAGTATAAAATCAAAAACTTGTTATAAAGAATTGGAGTGTTATATCCCTAAAAATCTCAAAAGTACTTTGAAGGATTATTTTGGAATAATGGTTAATCTAGGAAGTTCCAACTCAACAAACACGAGTAATACTTCAATACTTCTACCAATAGATGCTAATAAGTTACAAAATGATAAATATCTTGCAATCTTCGAGTATAAACCAGATAAATATATTGGTGTTAGATTTCATTTGAAGTAAGTAATTAACTCCTTTCTTTTAAAAGACAATGAAAAATGAATGTTTATTTTTAAACAAAAAAATATAGTTAAGGATTATTGTTGGTCATCTTCATAAGAAGATGTGATTTTCTCAAAGGTTTTCTTAATTGATGTAACACACTTATCTAAATCACTCATCATATTGATTGTAATTTTTTCTGCTTTAAGAATGTACTGAATTTTTTTTGTTAACACTTCAGCTGGATATTGGAACTGAGTCATTTGGAAGTCATAAAGATCTTTTTTGTCTTTGTTAAAATATTCAAGAACGTACAAATTTCTCAAAACAGTATGAGCGTCTATTTCTACAAGTGAAGCCTCATACAAAGGAGATAGAGTTGTAGCAATAGACTTTTGTTTTTTCATTATTTCTAAAATAGTAGAATATCTTTCTAATGATTGTTTTACACCTACGTCTTGAAGATCATAATGAGTAAGACAACTCAGTAAATCTTCATCAATGTGATCATCACTATTAATCTCTTTTTGTTGGTATGGAATGCATTTTTGTCCTGGTTTGTGGTGATGATCATTAGTAACTTGCATGCACATCCAACAGAAAAAACAATGGCATTTATAACAACACATCCATTGACATCCACCATTCTTCTCAATAAATGTACTACATGCAGGGCATGGTCTTGAGTTTGTTCTAATCCATTTTAAATTTAACCCACCCTTTTTCAATAGTTCTTGCCATAGTCTCCATTGTTCACAAGTAGCAGGTCGATGATTTGCCTCTCCACAAAGAAGACACATATTAGTTTGACAAGAACAGATTGCAGTTTTATTATTATCTAAAAGACTTCCTTTATAATGTAATACTTTATTACATCTTTCATTAAAACAGTATCTACATAAAAAATCTTTATTTCCTTCAATAAATCCAGTGATAAGTAATTCACAGTACCTATAATATGTATAGTCATCAACTAAATAACGTACAATATCCATTGTAATACAACAATGACATCCAGAGGATAAACATTTAAGATTTCCAATATTTTTACCATTTTCTCTCATTCCAGTTAATATTTGTTCAATAACACATTGTTTACAAAATGAATGTCCACAACGATTTGTGAACATTTCTTCTTCTAATTTATCTTCATAACAAACATCACAAGTAATTGATTGTGCTTCTAATTTTTCATCTCGCTTTTTATGTTGTTGAGTCAATTTTTTATCTAACTCATTATACCATAATTTCATTGAAGATGGTATTGTTCCATTATTTACAGACGTGATAATAGAAGAATCTTCATTATAAATCATACAAATATCAAAATAAAATTGTGGAGAAAGTCCTAGTAATGGACATTGATGAATAACATTCTTTGATGGATAAATTAATTCTCTCAATAAGTTATGTTTATTTTTTAAATTATTTTTTACATCATCAATATGGTTTTGAAGTTTTTTAAGTGCTTTTTCTTCATTGCCTTGGCATTGAATTAATGATAAAATAGCTAAACATCTATTAAACCCTCTACCAGTAATATTACATATACTTTCTTCATTAATTTGATATTCAGAAATATTGATATATTTCAAAACAAAATAATCTTTAGGAAATACAGTTGATTGAGGAGCAAACCAATCTTCTTGTCTTTGTATATATCCGTTCTTTGTTAAAAAATTATCGTCACTAAAAAAATCATCTTGTAATTTTAATGTCTTAAATCCATTTTCATATAATAGACTTAATACAATTGTAGGGCAAATACAAAATAACTCACTTGTTTCTACTCGTCAGTGATGAGCTTTATTATTATTAAAAAATTTTTTTTATTTTCTGAGTAAAACAAACCGCTTAATTCTTTATATATAATTGTTAATAACTCATTTCTATCAAAACACTCAGACTTTGATATTAACCTTTTACGATATGAAGAAATAGGAAGTTGAGAAATAATAGCGAGAGTCTCTTTATCCATAAAGAGAGTTATTAAATAAATGATTCTTCAATAATTTTTCAGAAAAAAAATAAAAAGTAAAAAAGAAAAAAAGAAAAAATGCTTAAGATGCAACACATCAAAAAAACGTTGAACCCACGTCATCAAAGAGAATAAAAGCAATCATCTAAGGTGTTTATTAAACAGAATATTTGATTATGTCTAATAAACAACTTAGTGAAGCAGCTAAAGCTAGAGGTACACAAGCCTTTAAAGATCAAAAATTTGAAGAAGCTATTAAAGAATATACTGAAGCTATTAAATATGATGAAACAAATGGTGTGTTATATTCAAATAGAAGTGCTTGTTACGCTTCATTAGAACAATTTGAAAAAGCATTAGAAGATGCAAATAAAACAATTGAATATAAACCAGATTGGTCACGTGGTTATTCACGTAAAGCATTTGCTTTATTAAAATTAGAAAGATATGAAGAAGCAGAAGAGGTATGTAATGCTGGTTTAAAAATTGATCCAGAGAATCAAATGTTAAAAGATATTCTTGATGAAGTATATGAAAAAAAAGTACCATTTAATGTTAATGAAATGTGGAAAAATTGGAGAGTTAAACTTGCAGCTAATCCAAAAACTGCTTCATACTTAAATGATCCAGTTTTTGTTAGTAAGATTGAAAAGATTGCTGCAGATCCTAAAACACTTCAAACAGAAATGAATGATGTTAGAATTACTGAAGCAATGATAGTATTAATGGGAATTGATATGAATAACTTTAAACCTCAAGAACAAGAACATACCAATACTCCTATGGAAGAAGAAAAACCAAAAGATACTCCTAAACCTGAAGAAAAGAAAATGGAAGAAGAAACTCCAAAGAAAGAAGAGACTCAACCAATGGAAGAAGTTAGTCCAGAAGATATCAAGAAAAAAGAGGCACAACAACAAAAAGAAAAAGGAAATGAATTATATAAACAAAAGAAATTTAATGAAGCTATGGAATGTTATGATAAAGCTATTGAACTTGATCCAAGTGATTTAACATTTAAATTAAATAAATCAGCAGTGTTTTTAGAAATGGAAAAATATGATGAATGTATTAAATTATGTAATGAACTTCTTGATGAATATAAAGAACAACGAATTTATACACAAAATGCTAAATTATTTATGAGAATTGGTAATGCTTATTTCAAACAAGACAAATATACAGAAGCACTTGACTTTTATAAAAAATCATGTACTGAAAAAAGAACAGAAGAGATTTTAAATAAAATTAAAATTACCGAGAAGAAGAAAGAGGCTAAAGAACAACAAGAATACTTCTCAGTAGAAAAAGGTGAAGAAGCTCGTGCTAAAGGATCTGCTTTCTTTAAAGAACAAAATTTCCCTGAAGCTATTAAATGTTACACTGAAGCAATTAAACGAAATCCAAATGATCATCTTGCATATTCTAATAGAGCTGCTGCTTATCAAAAACTTGGAGAACATCCATATGCTATTAAAGATGCTGAAATGTGTATTAAAATTAAGCCAGATTTTATCAAAGGATATAATAGAAAAGCATTTTCTCATTTCTGTATGAAAGAATATAATAAAGCCTTAACTGAATATGAACATGCTTTAAAAATTGACCCTAATAATGCTGAAGCAACATCAGGAATTACTACTGTTCAAAATGCAATCATGGGAGCAAGTAATGCAGAAACTGATGAAGAGAGATTAAGACATGCTATGGCTGACCCAGAAATTCAAAGTATTTTAACTGACCCAATGATGAGAAATATTTTGGATGATATGGGAAAGAATCCTGCTTCTGCTACTAAATATTTACAAGACCCTGAAGTTCGTTCAAGAATAGAAAAATTGATTGCTGCTGGTATTATTAAAACAGCTTAAAAAAAATAATAGCTGGATGGACTGATAACCAAAAGTATTTTGAATTTACATCTTTTTAATTTATTGTTTAATTTTTTGGTATGAATGAGGAATTAATTATTTTTGAAAATTTGAAATTTCTTGAAGAACATATACCACGTAATGAGCAAAATTTTGTAAATAAAGAATTAGTTGACCATCAACAATAAGAACGTTATGCTTACGTTTGTGATGTCCTCTTTGAATAATAAAATGTACCTGTGCACGAGAAATGAATGGGTTAAGACTGTACCTTGGATGATGATGGAATAAAATGTTTAAATTTTGTTGGTATTTTTGATTAAGAAAATCACATGATTCAAATAGTTGGTTTTGTCTATCAGAACAATGAAGAGGTTGAAGAGGAACAGAGATTGGTTGGTATGGAATTTCCCAATACCCATGAGTCTGAGATATTTTTATGTCATCAGAAGAAGATACGTAAAATATAAATGAAGGGTCATAAACAAGAATTAAATTCTGAACCATTTTTGTATTAACTTGATTACCTGCAACAAATGCAAAAACTATATTCATATTAATTGGTGTTTGAGGAATTAATTCCATAATTGAGAAGAGAAGTTGACATGAAAATACTTGATTTATTGTGTCAATTCGTGGAATATCAAAGAAACATGAAATAAAGAAGAAGATAACAGAAATAATAATACGTAGTTTTTCTCCAATTTCTCCATGAATAATTCCAATAAATGGAAGTATTACTATTCCAATATGAAGGGCTAAGAGTAACGATTGTTTGTTTAAAGGATGTAAATGGCAATAAATTAGGGTTGTTGGTTTCCATGGATTTAAATAGTCTTCATTAACAAGATAACCGTTATAACTAGAAAAACAGGCAATATAACTTTGAGAGTTGAATGGTTTAAGAAGAGTTAGAATAAATTCAAGATAATGAAAGACTTTGTTGGTTAAGAATAAAATACAAATAGAGATTGATAAGGAGAGAAAGAGTGTTTGGTTAACAACTGATGTAAAAATACAAAGAGAGAAATAAAGAATGAGGTATTGATCTGGAGAAAAACGGTGATGAGGAAGTGATTGTTCAACGATAGAATATTGAATATTTTTTTCCTTAAATATTTGAACTAATGTATTTGATTTCTCCAATAATTGTTGAAATATCATTAAATATTTTTATTAAATATAAAAACAAAATATAAGGCTTTTTCCTTTCGTTTTAATTTCAATCTTGAGATAATTTATTGGCGAATTATACGAACAAAAATATCAATTTTGTTGAAAGAGTAATAGTCTAGATTCATTATTTAGAATTTTGTTAAAACTGTTCTATTTAAACATTATTATCTAAAAATAGGAAATTAAGAAAATATTTAAAAAGAAGAGTATCATAACAATAAGTTAAAGAAAAGTTGTGACATTGATTGTTTTTTACAAAAAAAGAAAACAGATGAAAATATTAAAACAGAAACTTATCAAGAGTTAAAGAAAATTTGATATTTATAAAATGATAAAATAGAATGTTTGAATGTTTTATAGAAAATGAATATAATAATAAAAAACAAAAGAACCAATGAGATAAAGTACAAAATGAATAATACAACATAATATTTTGAAGAGAAGCGATTTAAAAATCAAATTACAAGAAATTTTTAAGCTCATCTCTTGTAATTAAAGAAACCATTTGAGCATTTACTTTATTCATAATATAGTCTCTAATTGAAGGTGCTTTTCTATTAATATCTTTTATTGAATACAATAATTTGTTTCGATAGGAAATTGTAACTTCTCCATCGAATCCACAATTTTGTTCATTTTCTGCATAAACTATATAACCGTATTCAGTTACCAAATCCATTAATAAATGGAGTAACTCCCATCTTTTCGCTTCTTGCATCCTTCTTTTAGCTGTTTGTTGACTAACTCCTTGTTTTGTTAAAGATGTAATTAGTTCATCTTCTCTTTTTCTAATGAATGTTTGAACTTCTACTTCATCTCCAGAACAAAAATCAATTTTAACTATTTTTATAAATTGTTTGGTCACTGTTGTTTTTCTTTGGGGTTTAGCTATTGTTAGATTAACATATTGATTTAATATTGCTATGAGAATTGCTTCAACATCACATTGACTATTCATCATTCTACATTGTTTCAATTTTGTAGGCTTCTTATCACTCATTTCTTACTAATTTAAAAAGAGGTTTGACTTTATAAGATTCCAATCAGATTATTGAATCATGTAAGTTTTTTTTTCAAATCTTTTGATGTTATTTTTTTTGGTTCAAAAATTTTGTGGCTTTGAAAAAAAAATGTAAATGTATTTTTAGAACGCAATAATTTAATTCAAAAAAAGAGTAACGAAAAACAAAAAATAAAAAACATTTTTCTTTTTAAAACAAAAATTCAAAATAGTTTTTGATAATAAAAAAAAAGAAATAATAAAAAAATAAAAAAAAAAGATGAACTGTAAAAAACTAAAAAAAGACAAAAAAGTTATGACAGCTGAAAGTAAAATGGAAGAACAACTCAAATTATTAGAACATCAGATAAATGAAACCACAAATAAGTATAATGATATATTATCACTAAAAGGGACATTAAAAAAGAGATTAGAAGAAATGGTAGTACCAGAAATCACAAAAGAAGAAATATTGAAGAAAGAAGAAGAATTAAGACAACTTCAAAAAGAAATTAATGAATTAAAACTCGAAATTAATGAAGAAGAAAAGAAGGTACTTACTAAAGAATTTAATGGAACAAATAAAAGAGAAGATGTAAAAGGTTCATTTAAACTTAGTGTTCGAAGAGAAAGGTCAAAGACTGCTGTTATTAGATTAAGAGAAAAATCACATCAAACATTAGCTGTTTCAGATTATAGTGCTGATTTTGAAAATAGAAAGAATACTGAATTTACTAGATATGCTGAAACTATTTCAAATATGTTAAAACAAAATGAATCAATTTCAACGGATGAAATTATTGATCAATTAGCTTCTAAACTTAATGAATTACATGATGAATTGGATGGAGATTCTTTAATTCCAGATACTTCAACTGCAGAATTATTAAAAACTACTAATTATGAATCAATTCATTTAAGAAAAACTTCTACTGCTTTTAGAGTTACTTCAA